TATACATTGACAGTCTTTCTGCACCAGCCTTGTCTATATCCTCCTCTCAGACACGCATACAGTTCCCCATCTATTTTGCTCCCAAAGAAATGGCTATTTTTAACACAGCCTCCTCTCTGTGGAAAGTGCAGAGGACTATACGCTGAGCACTTAAAGCGGAGTAAAATCAAAGATGCTAACAGGCACCTCTCCCTGAATGGTTTGAAGCTACCAACCTTTTCCTCAGGATGAGCTAATAATATCGATATCAAAAAGCTCCCAGTGTTCTGAAACCGCGCAATGCCGTCATTATTTCCTTTTCTAAAATTAACTGCCAAATACTAGCTCTGAGCATCTCTGTGACATTTAGACAATGCACAACAACATTGAAAGGAACAAGCAACACAGCTTTTGGGTTTCATATATCATCTTTGTTGTATTTGCAGTATTGATCATTTGGAAGGGATATATGCATGTCTCGGTCCATAGATTGTCCACTGGTGGTGCTTGTAAAGTGCTTTTTTTTTTATTTTTTATTTTTTACATCCAGTAACACTGAAGACATTCTGTTTTTCAGTGCTTACATCCTAAAAAACATGGCTGCATTGAAGAGTGAATATTACAGACTGGATCACAGTAACGGGAGTGTAAAACGTTCAGTGTCTTGGGGCTTGTCCTTTACAGACAGAATGGGTTGAAATAGACTCAATTCAACTCTCTGCCAATTGAAGTGTTTGTATAATTCTAGACATCCCTCGGTCTGGCTGTTGAGCGCAGGCTATATGGTCTGAAGTGCTTTATGGATATACACACATGCCCAAACACACATATATAACACTGTATTGCATAACTAAGCAATAGGAGAGACTTTCTTTCTTTCTTTGCAGGCAGGTGCTATGGGATGGACAGATGCAGGGCTCGTCTCAATCACCGCAGCCTACTTATGTCCTCAAGGCCAAAGGCAATCAAAGCATAGTACAACAGTTCTTGCAACTTCACTGTATTTTAAACCTATATCAGATTCTCACAACAGTAGGTTTATCCTTTAATTCAACATGAAATCTAAATATTTATTAATGTTCCTGAATTAATGGTTTATGATTTGTCAAAGAAAAAAAAAGTGAAATTATGTTGCTTTTCTAGCTATCTGACTCTTGGTTAACATTAACCAATAACTAAATAGCCATTGAGGTGTTGTTTTGGCAAACTTGCTATCTGTTTTGGATCTTTTCTGGTTTAGAACACCTACTTTTCATGATACAGAATTTTAGATAAAATCAAGTGTTTGCCTACTTTTATTCCTCATTGAATATGAGAAAAAGTAGTAGTTTAATTTAAATGTAAAATTTAATTTAATTTAATAAATATTACTGCTCTAAATCTGTGATAAATTGAATTGAATTAATAATTGAAATATAGCTTTACTGGACGGAGACTTCATGGTTATATGGTTTTAATTGAATTTGGCCTGTAAGCTTTTTCTCTCCCTGTCATTTTTTGAACAAAAACTTTTGTGAAGACAAAAAAAAAAAAAAGATTGCATAAGTTGATGCACTTCCTTCTAAACCATGGCAGTGGACTGGTTATAAGATGCTAACAAATATGATTTTGTGACATTCAATGCTGGCATTTAGCATTTCAAATGACATTTAGAAAATCAACACACAATCCAAACGTGATAGGAGAAACTGGTGCACCTGCAAGCAAAGCAATGACTGCGTTTTTTCAATGTTTCACAGACGTGCCTGTCCAATGAGGAACAAAAAGAAGGCTTCAAAGAGGTACTGTTATAGCCCTGACATTTAACACTGCCAGGTCTAGCACCAAAAGCATAACGTATGTTATGGTCACACATTAAATATAAAGTTACAGTGACAATGTTTATATATGTGGATTAGGATGGTACATGTGATTCACCAACAGCATACTGTCCAATGTCATGCATAGAAAACCTGCTGTTTGCCTGCATTAGAGATGATGTGTGTCATTTCTGTTCCATTAGTGGAATTACAAAAAATATTGTTTTCATTATTATATTCCAAACACTCCCCATCTGCCACTGATCAGACACGCAGATAGTTTGCCCTAAAATCACACCATTGGTTGAGACAATGTTGCCGTGTTTTGCTGCTTACGTATCAGAGCAATGATTTTTGTTTATATTTTTTGGGGAAATTAACACACAAATGGATTACTGACAGAACTTTTTTTAACATAAAAAAAAGACACACTTCAGCTTTAAAGCATCCAAACATAAGTTTAGTACATTTCTTAGGCACTGGCTATGCACTGTGGGGTGTCAGTTTGGATAGATTGGTTTAACATTCAGGATTTTACACTTTGTTAAACCTACCCGAATTGTGCGTGTTACAGTGATGTCTATATTCTGAATTTAAAAAAGAAAACATAATTAGCAGCAGCTGTGAAAGCAGTATCTGCTTCTAAATTAGCAGCATCAGCACATAAAGTTTGCTTAAGGGGAGACACTGCAGGCAAAAACACTGTTTTTTTAGGCCTATGTACCTGTCAAGTTTGAGATTTTGGGCTTTTTGGTTTTTCATAAAGTGTTTTATCAGACTAGTGGAAAGAAAACATCCAAAAGACACTGTTAAATGTTTCTTTTATAGCACTTTATCTATCTGTGTCAATAGATTTAAATTATAATACATACAGTATCTCACAGAAGTGAGTACACCCCTCACATTTTTGTAAATATTTTATTATATCTTTTCATGTGACAACACTGAAGAAATGACACTTTGCTTCGGTGTAAAGTAGTGAGTGTACAGCTTGTATAACAGTGTAAATTTGCTGTCCCTCAAAATAACTCAACACACAGCCATTAATGTCTAAACCACTGGCCACAAAAGTGAGTACACCCCAAAGTGAAAATGTCCAAATTGGGCCCAATTAGCCATTTTCTCTCCCCGGTGTCATGTGACTCATTAGTGTTACAAGGTCTCAGGTGTGAATGGGGAGCAGGTGTGTTAAATTGGGTGTTATCACTCTCACTCTCTCATACTGGTCACTGGAAGTACAACATGGCACCTCATGGCAAAGAACTCTCTGAGGATCTGAAAAAAAGAATTGTTGCTCTACATAAAGATGGCGTAGGCTATAAGAAGATTGCCAAGACCCTGAAACTGAGCTGCAGCACGGTGGCCAAGACCATACAGCGGTTTAACAGGACAGGTTCCACTCAGAACAGACCTCCCCATGGTCGACCAAAGAAGTTGAGTGCACGTGCTAGCACTTACACACACCAAACTTTACATTTTTATTACTGTCTATATCCTGAAGGTTTTTACAGAGGGATTTGTTCATATGTAATTTGCTTGATTATATACAACATTTGAATTCCCCCAAAATTGTGAAAATATAGTGTTTTCTGTCCATTCTAAGCATTTTCTGAATTATGGAGTGACAAAAATGAGATACCCAAAATTCCCTCATTGCCAAAAATTTAAACAAGAATTTTGAAACTGAACTCATCCAGTGTTTAGATTTTCGTACAAGAAATATATGCAAATTAGCACAAATAATGACTCATTTGCATATCTAAACCTAACATTTGAGAAAACTTGTAATACAAAAATTTTTTGCAATTATCAATGTAATCAATCAGCTAATCAATTACCCTATTCACCTGCAGTGTCTCGCCTTAAAAATATTAGAGAGACAAAGACAAAGGCACCTGCAGCCCAGGTGAGATATTGGAATAGACGTGGGCGAGAAACCTTCTAATGGTACACAGTCACATTAAATAATCATCAATCCATCCATAAACAGTTTCAGGATTTTGCATCTAAAAAGTCAATAGAATGAAAACAATGAGATTTACTGCCTTGATAATGGCTATACTTTTAAGGAAAGGATGCAATAACTGTGGTTGGAGCCTAAGCATTTGTTGAAAGTCAATCAAAAGAAGCCAATATTGACTTCCATAGTGTCTTTCCGTTGATTCATTGTTGTTTGGCATTATACAGTCTCTTCATCATAAGAGAAGCAAGTAAGCCTGTAAGTCTAGATTTCAAGGTCACCTGAAGCTAAGACAATCAGAGTCCCAGCAATCAATGCCCTAATGCTGCACTGTCCATCCAAATGCATTGCAGAGTGTCTTTTCATTCTTTCAAATGCAAAACAAAACCTGAAAACTGAAAACAGCACCTTTGGATCACAATAAAACTTGATGTATATATGTATATATAAAAATAGATGTATATATGTATATATACAGAGCCAGATACATATTTTTGTAATATTCTAGCTAACTAGTTTCTTTATATCACTTTCTCTTGAACTTAAAACCCATGCCATTAGGATTGGTTTTGGGGCCATGCAACACTATAATACCAGTGTTTTTCTCGATCAAAGGCAGTAAAAAAGACAAAACGTCTAACAAGCTCTATCAAGGTTTTTCTAACATCTGAAAATGATTTCAGGATGATAGACAAGCCAGTGATTAAAAATAATCTGACATCATTGCTACAAATTTGCTAGGGGACATTTAAGTGTGAACTACAATATGGCTCATTAAGTGACAAAGTAATTTGAATATCAACTACATTTTAAACTATCTCTGCAGCTTGCAGCAGAAACAATGGGAATATACACTGAACAGTATGCTCTTACACAAAATACATCAAGCATTTTTTTTCTGTGGCACTAGGGTGTTATTTTGCTTATTTTTCATTTAACGTGTTTTGTATGTTCCTTATCCTGAAGAGCTGTAAAAAAACTGATGTGAAATGATAAAAGAAAAGCCATTGAAGGACAATGGACACAGACACCGTAGACTATAAATAACATAAAATATGAGATGTAGAGACATTCATCTTGTCTTCAAAAGCTTTGCAGCAGGATAATCGTGAAGGAGTAGATACAAGTGTTGTCCATACATACGTATTTTGGGTCCACACACAGCTATCGACACAAAAGCAGGCAGTTTTCAATGACATTCCCAGCCTGATCACTACAATATCACTAAAATGACAGACAACTGTCTTGAATCGATGTGAATATTGGTGTTCTTTAACAAGCAGCAGGAGAGTGGACGAAACTTCTGTGAATATTCTTTGCATCGTATACATGTACTGCATGTGACCGCAAACCTTTTTAACAGCAGATGAAGCACACAAATGACGTTTCTTTGGCGAAGCTTGGCTTTGAGAGTAAGATGTTGATGGAAATATACTGACACTCATGTGCTGTTTATTTGTGTTCCACAGTTCCGTATAAATACTTGGCTCCTGATCCGGATAAGGTGTTGGATGATATAGATGACTCCATGCAAACACTGGATGTAGGTTTGGACTTTTAATGAGGAACTGGAGATTGTAAATCTCATGACAATAACTGAGGCGTTCAACCTCACAATCCTCCTTCGAACATGGCTTACTATAGTCCTTTTATAATTCAGTTCGTACCTGCTCCTCGAATTACTAGACATCTGTCAGCATTTTTTTGATATTAACATAATTTGTATTAGCTAAAGTGCAATTGGCTGTCTTGAGGTTCTCTTCCTGAAAGTCCTCGTTGCTGTTTTTGACCCCTTCTTGGATTTCCATGTAGTCCGACTTGCTGATGGTGGATCCACTTCGACTTCCCTTCAGCTCTTCTTGTGAATCGGCTTTAGGGACGTTAACTTGGAGATACTGCTCCTGCTCCTCCCCTTCTGTTTCTCGATGGTAGAAGTAGTTGAAGTTGGAGACGATGACGGGCACGGGAAGGGCGATGGTCAAGACGCCAGCGATGGCACAGAGGGATCCGACAATCTTTCCTCCGATGGTTGTGGGCACCATATCTCCATAGCCAACAGTCGTCATTGAAACCACAGCCCACCAGAACGCATCCGGGATGCTATAAAACTGTGACTCGGGTTCGTCAGCTTCTGCAAAGAAGACTGCACTGGAAAAGAGGATGACTCCGATGAAGAGGAAGAAGATGAGTAGACCTAACTCTCTCATGCTGGCTTTGAGGGTCTGGCCAAGAATCTGAAGTCCCTTTGAGTGACGGGAGAGTTTGAAGATTCTGAAGACTCGTACAAGTCTGATGACCCTCAGAATTGCGAGAGACATGGCTTGTTGCCCTTGCTGCCCGTCCTCTGCTGTCTCGGCCAACTCCGTCCCCAGCGTGATGAAGTACGGAATGATGGCCACCACATCAATCATGTTCATTATGTTCACAAAGAAGCTGGCTTTACTAGGGCAGGCAAAGAAGCGCACCAAGAACTCGAAAGAGAACCAGATGATGCATAGCGTCTCTAGAATGAAGAAAGGGTCTGTGAAGTAGGTGGATGTGTAAGTGGTTGTGGAGTTAGTGACGGCAACTGGGACTTTGCGCATCTCCTCCTCATCGCTGCGGAAGATGGGCAAGGTTTCCAGGCAGAAGCTGACGATGGAGATGAGGATGACCATGACGGATATGATTGCTATAATCCTGGCTGGCCCAGAACTTTCTGGATACTCGAACAGCAACCAGACCTGCTTCTGAAACTCATTGTCAGGCAACGGCCTCTCCTCCTCCTTGATAAAACCCTCGTCCTCCCGAAACATCTCAATTGCTTCCTCTCCAAGCTCATAAAAGCGGATCTCCTCTGAGAAAATGTCCAAAGTGACATTGACGGGGCGCCGCAACCTTCC